ACCAACAGTCACAAGAACACATAAAATTACTCTTTTAGTCTTGCTGGTTGAAATTAATTAGTTAGTTAAGGGAGTAAGATTATCGTGAGGATTGACATTAAAACAACCATCAATACCAAGAACATAAAGAAATCAAAGGAATAAAAAATATATGACGTGCTATTGTTAACCTTCACCGCATCAGACAGCAACTAAATAATGGGTTTATGTTTTATTTATTGTACATAAAAATCTATCAACTTAATTAATATTTATAGACTCGATATACTAACGTTGGTTTGAATAATGTTTAACGGTAATCCTGCCAGTATGAAAACTGATTTGATACACATACATCAGAAAATTTGTTTTTATAAAATAAAAATAATTTGTCATTATCTTTTAGCAGTTGTTTAAAAAATATTTAAGGGATGGATTTTGAGTTGTCTTCGTGGCCAAAAGGTACTGTTATTCCTTTGTTTTTTTTAATTAACGAAACAATTGCCACTATTCAAATATATCAAACTTACGCGAAATATAGTTCTACTAGAGAAAATAAATGGTCCCTCGGAAAGTCGCTAAAAAACAGATCAGAATTACACTTTACAATCTATCTGAGACGCTATATGGTATACCTATAGTTTTTTCAGATGACAACCTTTGGATTCTACGTTTACTTTGTATAGACTTCTTTCAACTCAAACTGATAAAAGTAATGGTGGTTTTATACATTATCTTCAATGTATTATTACTCCTCATTCAAACTTATCTTTTTCTCTCCGTATTCGAAATCGACTTCTTCGCCATATATTCGCCGTATTACTTTGCAATTTTTTACGTAAGAATTAAAAGAACAATAATATTTTTTCACTAAAAATTGTTCTAATGTTTTTAGATAATACTGTCCCTAGGACAAACTCTTTTGGCTACTCATCTGAACGGTGACGCCTTGCGCTCTGTGCAGTTGTGGAAAGTTCAAAACGTCGATGAAGAAAATGCAAAACAAATCAAACTTGAAATTAGAATAACAACAATTTATGCGATTGTTAATGCAGTTTTTGCTCTGTTTGCTGGTGTCCTTTATATGCTGCCATCGGAAAATGTAAAGAAAATGTGTTTTCCATTGGTAATAATCCAGAAGTATGCACCATACTGGAAGGATGAACTGTCTCTCTTGTATATGGCGGGCTATATTCTAATAGCACTGGCCATGGTAGCAAACTGCAATCAAGCCATTTATACTACCTGTCATTTTAGAATTCAGATTTACCTAGTGAAAAGTGCAATGAAGGAATTATTACATGTCAAAATCCGTAATTCGAAAGACGTATGTAAACTTCTGCGTACAAAAGAATTTCAAGAGGATTTTAAAGTAAAAATGGCTTTTGTTATCAAAAGAATTAGCGGAATAATTAAGTAGCCACAATATTTTTTCAAATTCTAGTCAACTAACTGTTCTGTTTTCTAGAGAAGGTATAAAGCTTAACAAACAAATGAACATTTACGTAATGCTGTTTGCTGTGTGTGCATGTTTACTGGCAATGGGCGTCATGTTATTTTTCCTATTGGCCATGAAATTAGATTTCGAATTTGGATTAAAAGAATACCTGCAGATTGTCACCACCGCAGTAGCAGGCTTGTCGACTTTTGCTACAGTGATCATTTCTGGCCAAAAAGTTGAAGATATTGTAAAAATATTAATAATTATTATTATTTACAACAACAGCTGTATTATTGATTAAATATTCTTTTAGATGGAAGAAGTTCGTTACATGTGGGCCTCACTTCCATGGTACGTGCACAACTATGAAAACAGTCAAGTGTATATTATATTTCTGGGAATACTGACGAAATCGTATAAAATTCATTTCACGGAAGAAATTTCTTTAAATTATCGTCTAGGGGTTGCTGTACGTTGCATTTTATATCATAAATGTGAACAGTCTTTATAATTTGATTTGCAGATTGCAAGGACTTTATTTTCAACGTTATTTGCGTTCTTACAACTTATTAATTTAGATCGCTCGTAAAGCAGTCACATTAAAACAATACTATAAGTAAACTAAAAAAGCACGACCACTGCACTTACTGCACTGTAGTCAATGCGTTTTGATCCACAAATCGTTAACCACCTTTCCAAGCGTTCAGACTGACGGCAATGCGAAATTTTTTTGCAAAGATTTATATGCTCGGGGTCCTTTTTTGTATAATGTTACAAAAAAGACTTTTGATTCAGGTGTCCATTGGCGACCTCGTGGCATTTTAGGCGTTGTTCTGAGTTGGGATAAAATAAATAATTTGGCCGTTTCTGACATGACTTTAAAATTTTTAAGGAAATTATTTTGCAATAAATGTATAACATCTTGCTTATTGAGACTTTTCTTAATCTTAAATAAATCTGTTTTGAGAATGAACATTTTGCGTTTTATTCTCCACATTTCTTTTCGCACCGTTTTCAGATCCTGTGTCATATGTTTCTTCCTAGGAGTGTCTTCACTCGCTGTTTTCTGGTAGCCGGAACATTCTGCAACATTTTTACATGTTAGTGTTTTTACTTTACAAACAAATCATTATACTAGTTTACACGGGTTTTCCCCAGAAAAACGAATGGACGTTTCTGGAAGACTTTTGTGTCTTGAATTCAAATCCGTATACCAAAAAATTTCATTGCGTTTAGAAAAAAAAAATGAAATAAAACGCTTGCTTGAATGAAAGATTGTGTATGAAAAGGGAAAAGACTTTACGCAGGATACTATTTCTTCCGTTTATATTCAGTCGCATCAGTTTCTCTCAAAACTGCCCAATAGCCTAGATATTTTGTCACAAATAAAAATATAAGTTGAGGATGGTGTTTTAACTCTTTTTTTTTTATTCAAGAAAATGGACGAATATTTTATCCAAATTGAATTTGAGTCACAGTAGTTGAGAAAGATATAAAGCTACTGAAGGATGAGATGGCATCTTTTAGAGATACAGCGAGATCCTTAAACAACTCTCATAGCATAAATAACATTTTAGAAGAGATTTAAGAACGCAAGGAGAGAGCATGTAATGTATCATTATTTAACATCCCAGAATCATCTTCATCTACCACTTCTGAAAAAATTAATGAGGATATTAAAACAGTTGAATAAATTTTGGCGCCACTTGGAACATTTCCGAATCCTAAGAAAATATTCAGAATTGGACTTTTCAAAAATAACCATAATAATCGGCCAATGAAAATTATATATGAAGATGGGAATGATGCAAAAGAAGTATCAAGATCCAATAAAAATAATACCAACCGGAATAATCACTTCTGCGCTGACCTTACAAATAAACACAGAGAGTATATAAATATTGGCACACGTCAACTGAAAGATACAACTGCAAAGGGTGAATCTAATTTAACTTTGAGCTACAAACACAATACTCCTTATATAGTTAAAAGTAATGTCCGTAGAAAAATCACAAAAAACTGAAAGTACTAAATTGCTATTATATTATCATAGTGCCGGTAGTCTAAGATCTAAATCAAATGAATTTGTGATTAACGTTAGTAGATAATTATTATTACTGAGTCTTGGTTATGTGACAAAATTAAAAATGAAGAAATAGTTTTGCATAATTTTAACATTTACAGAGAAGATCGTAATAAAAAGACTAGCACTAAATCTAAAGGTAGTGGGGTATTGATTGCGATTAATAAATGTTTAAAATCGTCAGTTATTTTCATTGGTGAATTGGTGGAAAGTATTTACTTGGGTTTTAAATTAAACGGCCTCAACTTTATTATTGCAGGTATTTATTCCTTTATTCCTCCAAATTCTTATTTTGATCTATATAAGTCTCATTGCAAAGATATTAAACTTGTAGTTGGAAAATATCCAGATCATAAATTTATAACTTCTGGTGATTTTAATTTACCTCGTATTAACTGGGCGGAAAACCATATGGATAGATCTGGTTTCACTGGTTTAAATCAGAATTGTTATGATATTATTTTCAGTACTTATTCTTTTCTTATTACTACGTCGAGTCGATCGACACCTACGACGTTTGTTTATGCAGATGTCAGTTGTCGATGGAGTTTGTCCGTTAATCAGGTAATATGTCGGTTCGCCGGTAGTGTTGTTAAGTCTGTTCTCCGTCAGTTTAGTCTCCCCTATTAGCATTATGAAATGTTATTAGGGGAGACATTTTATTTGATATGCCATTAGCATTCCAATAATACATTTTTAGTGATTTATAATGCATAATCTTCTAGATTTTCTGTAAACTCAACAAATGCGATGTCGTACCCAAATAGTTTTGACCGCGGCCGAGCTTTTGGACTCTAACAAAATTATTTATTTGGGTGTAGGCCCATTTCCTTGGAAATGAAAGAGCTAAACTGCATGTAGGGGAAGAGGTAATAATTAAACATTTCCAACATTTTGAGACATATATTAAAAGAAAGAATTAGAAGAGAAGGTTCCGAGTTAGGAGACTGTGTTGGAACCTCGTCAGATAAAATCTTTTACTCAATCTATCGACGTGCTCCCTCACAGTCTCCAGTCCAGTTTCAGCCAGCATATCAGCGATTCTGGCATATCTGTTCTGTCCTGTTATAAGTCTGAGGCACTTGTTTTGGAACTTCTCTAGTCTTGTCATTTGAGTGTCACTTATGCCGCACCATACGGGTGCTGCATAAGTGACAATCGGTCTCAGTATAGTCTTGTAAATGGTTAGTTTGTTTGTCATGTCTAGTCCGCTTTTCTTGTTCATCACTGCGTATAGTTGCCGTAATGTCGCGTTTGCCGATGTCAGTGTCTTGTCAATGTGTGTTTTGTAGTTCAATCTCTTTGTCTAGCACAACTCCCAAGTACTTCACTTGCGGTTTTTCAGTGATTGGTTTGTCATGAATTCTAAGCTTCGGTATTACTGTTTTCGGTGTATTTTCTGGTGAAAATAATATTTTCTGTTTTCTCCGAGTTCAGTTCGACGCGCCAATCAGTATCTCACAAGTTGGTACATGTGGAACTGCACTTGTCTGTTAGTCACCTCTGCACTGAAAGAGTGTGCATAGGTGCGGTGTCGTCTGCGTAAAGTACCAGTCTTGTCTTTGAGAACGTCGGCATGTCGTACAGGTAGTACGCAAAGAGTTTCGGCCCGAGGACCGATCCCTGAAGCACCCCTGCCTTCACCGACCTCTCCATCGAAAGTTCAGTTCCTATCCGTACTTGTAACGTCCGTCCTGTCATGTACGAGTCTAACAGCCTGACTAGCCGGCGCGGGAGACTGATCTTCAGAAGTTTGAAGGTCAGTCCCTCGAACCATACCCTGTCAAAAGCATTCCATGTGTCCAGCAGCGCCATCGCGGTATTCGTATCCTTGGAGAAGTTGTCCGTAATCTCGTCCGTGATCCTCGCAACCTAGAGTGTGGTGTCGTGTTTGGCCCGAAATCCAAATTGGAAATCGGGCAGGTTTAAATTATTAATATAAACAAATTAATTTCCTGCTCCAGGGCTGCGAGCAGGCGTGGACAACCTTTTCTGCTATTTTTGAGAACCCTGTGAGGAGACTGATCGGCCGGAAATTGCCCGGGTCGACGAGATTTTTTCCATTTTTGGGAATTGGAATAGCCACGACTTGTTTTCTTAAAAGCCGTTGGCCAGTAGTTGGTTTTAAATATAGCGTTAATTATGTAATATAGTTGTACTATTGCCTTTTGTGGTAGATTTTTAATAACTGCATTATGGATCTCGTCGACTCCCGAGGCTTTTTTGCTTGGAAGCTTTTTTATGATGTTCCATATTTCTTTTGGCGACGTCTGCATGCGCGGCTGGTAGTCTTTGTCGTCGTCGTTTATGTCTGGTTTGTCGAGTCTGAGGGCGGAAATATCATTGTTGATCTTCTCTTGTGTTGGTGTCAGCGCAACATACGTATTTCTCGGTAGCCTGACGGCTACATTCTCGATGTCCGTGGCGGGAAATATTACCCTTTCGTGCGGTACTGTTTGTCGTACCAGAGCCGCCACCCCTCCAGCTCTGGTGTCTCCCGTCCTGTCTTGTCTGTCAGTTTGGTCTCCCCTATTAGCATAATATCCACGTCGTGCGTGGATAAAAATGCTATCAGGGGAGACATTTTGTTTGATATGGCATTAGCGTTCCAATAATACATTTTTATAGGTTTATAGGTATACAGGTTTATTGTCTAGATTCTCTGTGAATTTCACGAAAGCAATAAATTTTTCTTGCTTGTTTTGGCAAGTACTGAGCACACTTGTTAAATCACTGATTGCCCTTAACATTTCACCAACATTACAGACTTCGTTTAAGCCTTTCATGGCAGCGAAAATGTCACTAGCGCCACTTTGAACTCGATTTTTAGCACTCGCACTCGCGTTATTTTCACTGACACTTGCTGCTGATCACACCTGATGTTGGTGTTGCTGCTGCTGCTGTTGCTGTCGCTGTTGCCCCGGGTTGGATTTTGGGAGTGGCCCCTGCACGTAGTTTATTTTCGGCTTTTCCTGTTGCTGTTGGCCGGTCATTTATACTCTGCGCTGGTAGCTCGGGCACAGGGTGCTACTTGCCCTGAGGTTACCAGCGCAGTTGGCGCATTTCACTAGCTCTTCTTTGTTCACTGTGCAATCCCTTGTCGGATGGTTTTCCGCACACACCATGCACACCACCTCAGCATAGCAGTTTGAGGTGGCATGTCCCCACTCTTGACAATTTCTGCACTGGATGATCTGGCGCTTATTTTCGTGCCGTTCCCATATTATTTGGCAATTGAGGAGAATTCTGGCTTTCGCCTGAAGGTGTCTAATTAGGACGTCTTTAGAAAATATAGCCAAGTACATTTTCCTGCCGGTGTTTTTCATCTGAAAGATCTCTTTCGGGGGCAGTCCTATTTTCTCTAGTTCTTCGGTGTCTGGTCCCCAATCGAGTCCTTTCAGCACATATGCTTTCCAGCCTCGATATTAATAGCTTCCTTTCGTCGGCATGTTTCGTAGTTATCGTTGTGCGATTTCTTGAATATTTAAGCATGTGTCCGGATTTGGCTACTTCCACTAACAGTTGAGTTAGCTCTTGATGTTTTTCTGGCTTCCCATGTAAAATTATCGGGGGCGGCGTTCCGCTTTTTGGCATTGCTGGTTTCTGTATTCTCGGTCTCGGTGATGCTGTTATTTGTGGTTGTTCCGGCACAGTTTTTTCATTTAAATTTCGTAATGGGGCGAAGTTATTTATTATCCTTAGGGGTGGAAATTCGTCGCTGGGTGGTGTGCTTACCCTTTTCCTTTTGGCCAAATTGACTGCACGTTGTTTTCTGCTTAGTTCGTCGCTATTAATGAACTCTCCGTTTCGGTCTTCCGGCAGCGGGAATTCTGATCCCGCGCTGACGTCCATATCGATATCCTGGAAGTTATTTTCGTTTGTCTGTTGTTGCGTAGTCATTTCTTGGTTTGTCGTTGCTATGATTGGAGGAGGACTTGTCGCCGGTACTTTAAAAATTGTTACCGGTTCCGGTGTTTCGTTTTCATTTGTTTTCGTGAACTTTTTAGCCACGAAGGTAGGGTTGGAGCTCGCCCTTAATAAAATTGGAGCCTGATCCTCTTTTGATGTACCGTAGAAAGGGGTGTAATTGATTTTGTGGGGCGACAATGATAAGTACACGGACTTTTATTTACATGTTCAAATCGACCGCCAAAAGTAATCTGGCAACATCCAGGTTCCAGAAGTTGGTTACAGTGATATGTAGGGATGTTCGGTTCTACAAAATAAACCGGTTTTCAGTTAACCGATTTATTTTTGAACAGGTTAATTGCCAACAGTTTAACCGAACCTGCAATAACCGGTTTGCAGGTTAACCGATTGTTCCCAATTCAATGTGAAAGTAAAAAAAAGGTGAATAGGTAATAATATTGATATATAAATCGTTGCAACTCAAAAATGTATTTCATGTTTAACAAAAAAACATTAGTCTGGATTATATAAACAAAAAATGAATTCCAAATTAGATGTTCCAGTAAATACTATCCAAAGAATTAAGAAATACTAACTCATTGATGTGCTGTGGTGTCAAACGACTTCTTTTATCAGAACAAACATTATTAAGTGTAGATACCAGGCGTTCTGCTGGAACTGAAGCTCCCAAGACAGTGAGGTATTTCATGGCAACTTTGTACGTTCCTGGAAATGCATTCTTATTTTCTTTCCAATACTGTATTGGATGTCGAGTTCTTGGTTGAATCGGTTGATTCAAATATAATTTTAACTCTGCGGGTAATCCATCACAACCATCTGAATCAGGTAAGTGCCTTGAGGCTATCTCATCATGGATATTCCAAATGCATCCATCTACATCATCTATAATATTTGGATGTACTGGTGGAGTGAGCGATCCTTGATTCTGATGTTCTTTTTTAACTTCGTTTTTTATTATTGTAATGGCATTGGCAACATTTCTTGCTGATGAAAAATGAAGACGCTTAAATCTGGGATCTACAATTGTGGCTATTGACAAAAGAATATTTGTTTCTAAAGGATCAAGTTTTTTTTCTATTTGTGCCTCAAGTTCTTTTTTTAAGTTTTTAGCAAAGGGATTACTGACGTTGATTCTATGTAAGGAGGTTTTAATACAGTTGGTCATGGGTATCACCAAGCTTCCTGAGACATATTTTTCGCCTGATATATTTTTAGTTGCATCCTCAAATGGCCCAAGTAACTTCAAACACTCATCAATAATTGCCAGCTCATTAGCAGTCAACATTGGTGGAGCTTTTTGGTGTTCAGACGACAGTAAAATTTTACCAACATGACCCGATAGGTATTTAAACCTTTGTAAGCAATAAAACGTGGAGTTCCATCTAGTGGGAACCTCTTGTATTAAATACAGATATGTTCCATCCTTTTTTCCTTCATTTTTCTGTTCATATCTTAACTGATCTTGTGCAACATTACTGTGCTTAAAATAAGCAACAATTGTCTTTACTTTTTCAATTATGGTGACAACATCTGGACAACTTCCTAATGCCTTTGTTATCACTAAGTTTATATTGTGCGCAAAACAACTGACATGGAAATGATTAGAAGTCTGTGACATAATTTTCTTTACAGCAGCAACAATATTTGCACCGTTATCAGTCGTAATTGAAACAATGTTTTCTTTTAAAATTTTCCAGTTATTCAACATAGTGTGCAAATCATTGCTTATATTGTCTGCTGTATGGTGCTGTGTCAGATTACTCACACCAAGTGCAATAGTAACCATTTCATTATTTTCTTCATCTATCAATTAAAATCTTTAAATGAAAAAAGAAACAAAATAATTCATCTTACTGATAAAATGGGCAGTTAAAACTATAAAACTTCTTGTCGCATTGATCACTGTTGCAATGTCTGTTGTTAAGGCAAGATGGTGAGCTTGTTGCAATTTTTTGCTAACAAATATTTGCAGGCTGTTGTACTTCTGTTCAACATATTTTGTAATCTAAAAATAATAGATTTTTGCCGATTTAAATTGTTAGAGCCAATGGACTTACTGTACTCCTACTTGGAACATGATATAACGGCACTGCTACTTTTAAAAGCCTTTTGAGACCTTCTTTTTCAGTACATTGCAATGGATAATTGTCTTTGCATATCATGAAGATTAAAGCTTGGGTTAACATTGCTTCTTTTGACCCTCCAGCTGAAACATTAAGTGTATATCAAATAGAGCTTCACAATTTCCATGCATAGGATTAATTTTTTTATGAAGGTATGATATTTACATTCATAACATCTTTGTGCATTAAAAATCTGGTGAATACTAGGTTGAGAGAGATGCGAGCTGTTACTACCATTATAGTTTATGTTGCTTGTACTGCTTGCAGTAATGGTACTGGCACTCCCGATACTATGAACTTCTATTAAATTCTCTTCAAAACTGTCATCACTGTCCTATGATAGAAAATATATTCAAATAACTATAGAAATTTTCCCATATGATGAAATCTAAGAATTAATTCTTCACCTCATGCTGAGAGTCTAGGGCTTCATTTTCAATCTCCTTCGCTGCATCTCCTCCTTCTGCATTGCTATGAGACGTTGAAGGCGTTGAGTTTGTCAAATCAAAGTCGATCCTTGGTTTCTTGTTCACTCTGGCTTCATCTGCGACATGTTTTTTGAAATTAATAGCATTGACTTTTGGGTGTTTTCGAATAAGGTGATTATTTAGGTTTGTGGTCCCACCACCAGTTTTGTAAATTCTTCCGCATAAATTACACTTACAGTTTTGATTATTACATCGGGTGAAAAACTCCCATACTTGGCTTTTTCTATGTTTTGGCATGTCGTCCTATAATGCAAACACTAGTTTACAGGAATATTTTTGATTTGCTGGAAAATGAATACTTTTGATTGTTTGTAGACTTTCTCTTATTCTCTTACTTTTATTAATCAGACTACTATCCATGTACGCACTTGGAATTAGGTTAGGAAGTACAAAAGCGTTGCAACGCGCGGGAAAATAATAATCACAGACCACACTAGTCTGTGATAATAATGTCCACAGCACGAGAAAATTGTCACGAGCACCCTTTTTCCAATCCAATCAGCCAATCACCACTGGTCGTTGTTAGTTCTCTTTTTTTAATTATTGCTATCTTACTTGCCCCCCAAACGTATAACTTCCAAGCTTACCAACACTGGGTAGGTACAATAACCACCAACGTACCACGTACGCTTTTTGCCTGCATTATTTTGCTATAAAAAATAAAAAAACCTACAAGTAGGTTCTGACATACGGCATCCGGTTCATCAGGTTATAACTGAATTTTAAAAAACCGGTTATAGTAGGTTCTTTCGCAGCAAAAAAGCTGTGACGAGCCGTCACTAAATTCGTTCACGAGAAAATTGTAACTAAAAAGACTAATAACAAACCCTCAAAACATAACTAGAAAATTTGCAAATCTTAATTAATTAACACGCATGTTCTAATCGGCAGATAGTACCATTCAAATACATAAACAAAATCAACTATCAATCCCCAAATGCAGGAACAAAATTCGCGTATTCGCAAATTGCGAATAACATTGCGCTTGCCAGACACTGCAAATAACTTGTACAAAATAATACGCCAGAAACATCGCCAATCGCAATTACTTTCATATAAAATTGTATCCAAACTAAAACAGCTGCAAACGAAACCCAGACACATAAACAACCTCAGAAAAAACGCCCTCTTTAAAAATAGCTACAACAAGCTAACCACATGTAGCGATGACGACATGAAAAGCATGACGCAAGTTGAAAAAACCCGAAAATATACGACACACTAACCAATAAAAAACGTCAGCCGCGGAACCATAATTAAAAGCTAAACCCTATATAACAACGAAATAAAACCTAAAATCCCGTACCGAGTAATACACTAATCATGAAGAAATATAGTCCACTCAAGTCACGGTAGACAAGAATAATGAGTAAAAATCCCTATATAAGCAGTAGCGCCGAAAACGGTTTAAGTAGAAGTTTCCAGTTGCCGCCGAAGGCTCTGTCCAAACCGGTGTCGAGAATTTTTATTAATTTTTGCTGAATTTTGAAGAAATCCGAACTTAGAAGAATTTGCTGAGCCCGAGAGGAAGATAGAAAAATTCTCAATGCTGCAGCTGTGTAAGTCTACCTTTTAGTCATTCTTAATTTATCTTGCTTTCCGTTTTTTCGTCATGTGTTCTCGAGTTCGAATCGTACATGTGTAGCGTTTAATTTATGCGTTTTCTCCGTTACGTTGGGTGTGAACAGTTAGCACCGGCACCGAAAGTAATCTTTAGTGCTTCCATATGTTCCCGTTTGTAGGTGGCACGTTTAGCCTTGCGTCGGTTCTTGATTATTGGGGAGGATTTTTCGATAAATTACCGTTTGCTTTTATGATAATTATTCCAAATTTCTGTAAATTGCCGATTTAACTCTTTTGCTTGCGACATAAATATTTTATATGCGTTTTGGAGAGGATTTTTCTGATTTTTACCATTTGCTTTTATAATAATTATTCCAATATCTCTTTAAATTTACCGATTTAATTCTTTGCTTGCGACATGAATATTTTATGTGCGTTTTTGGGAAGTTCCCGAATTGAAACCTATTAATCTAAATTTCTTGCTGTCGATTATTTTATATTGAATTTTTGCCGTTTAAATATGACTCCGTTCTCTGATTATTTTGCTATAGTATATATTATATTGCTATCTTTCTCACATTATACTTTATTTTAATCGTCTCATTGTGTTTTAGCGCATTTATGATACTAACGTCCCAATGTTTAACTGCATGTATAAATTATGACTGTTTATTTTCACATGTACCTACCTGTCCTGTAACCATTAATTTTTCTCGTGAACGATTGTTGTGCTCGGCATATTTAGCTAATCGATGTATGTGAAAACTTATTTATCTCTCTTTTTACATGTTTATAT